TGCTCGTGGTGGCGATATCTAAACTTCTATTACGTATACACATCTTTATGTACACAGCACTATCTTAAGTTAATGAGATCAGTATTCTGTATTGACTTCTGGAAACTAGTCCGCAACTTTATGGTTATGCTACTGTTTCACACCTTATTTAAATATTATTTTGGCCATTTATTTTCGGTCTCCTATGTTTGATAATTGTGTGATACAATTTCATCTGCATAGCCATACCAATAAACCCCACCCATACCAGAACTAGTCAGCACTAAATCTGTGTAACTAAAAGTAGCTATTTTAGTCTTTGTTATTGTGATCAGTATTTTAAAACTAAAGCCACTGTTCTCTGGTAACCCCAAGGACTGGGAAGGGGATGGAGAGAGTTGAGTCAATGGTACATGTACAGAGTTACAATTAGATAGGAGGAATAAGTTTTGGTGTTCTATTGCACAGTAGGGTGACTATAGTTAACAATATAGTATTGTATATTTCAAAATATCTAAAAGAGAGGATTTTAAATGTTCTCACCACAAAAAATAATAAATGTTTGAAGTGATGGCTATGCTAAAACCTTGATTTGATCATTGCACAATGTATACATGTATCAAAACATCACACTGTACCCCATAAATATGTACAATTAGTACGTGCCATGGTTTGAATGTCCCCTACAAATCTCATGCTGAATCTTAATCCCCACTGCAACAATATTAAGAGGGTGGGATATTCAATTATGGTATTTGAAAGGTGGGGCCTTTAAGAGGTGATTGAATCATGAGTGTTATGCCCTCATGAATGAATTAATCCATACATGAATTAATGGGTTAATGTATTAATGGATTATCATGGGAGTAGACTGGTGTCTTTATAAGAAGAGGAAGAGAGCACATTAGCATACTCTTGCCCTCTCACCATGTGACGTCCTGCTCCGCCTTGGGACTCTGCAAAGAGTTCCTACCACGAGGAAGGCCCGCAGCAGATGCAACTCCTTGACCCTTTGACTTCCCAGCTTCGAAAACTATAAGAAATAAATTTCTTTTCTTTATAAATTACCCAGTTTCAGGTATTCTAAGTGACAGAAAACAGGCTCAGAAAGTATGTCTATTAAATAAAAATAATTAGGGCCGGCCCATAGCTCACTTGGAAGAGTATGGTGCTGATAACACCAAGGCCACGGGTTCAGATCCCTATATGGGGATGGCCGGTTAGCTCACTGGGGAGAGCGTGGTGCTGACAACACCAAGTCAAGGGTTAAAATCCCTTACTGGTCTTTTTAAAAAATAAATAAATAATTAAAAATAAAGGCAATGCATAAAATTGGACTTTGAAGGGGAACATTTATAAGGACTTAAAAAACAGAACCAATTTAAATATAGGACTTCAGATTAGTTATCATGACGTTATCTAATATCTAGCATTACTACTACACAGTAGTAGTTGCACAATTAATTAGTACTCATTTAATAGATACCATTTAATAATCATTTAATAAATAACATCTAGCATAATATCTAATATTATCTAGTATGTTATGCAAAACCCTATAAACAGCCCTTCCTACCTGCCTCTTTCCAATACACCCCATGATTACCCTGGTATGAAGGCTTCCTAGCAGCAGAAAGGTAAAATAAACTGTCTATGGTATATTTATTCTAGTGGTATTTGGCTGACGGGCATCAACAAAATAGGCAAAATGTAAACAATTGGTAAATTTGGGTAAAGAGTGTAAGAGAATTTCTTATACTATTACAAATTTTCCATAGGTTTGAAATTATATAAATTGTTTTTTAAAATTAAGAAATAGTCATTGGAATTATGGTAATGAGAAGAATAAAGATGAGCATGACATAATATGGCAGTTCACTAGTTTATTCTCTCTTAGTGGTGTCTGGAAATTTCCACAGATAAAACAGATAAGGGGAAAAACATTAAGTATGATAAAAATGTTGTAAAACATTAGTAAGTAAACAAATATACAAATACAAACAAAGGAGCACTAAAAAGAAATGCATTATAAGCTTAACAGTTACTATCATTACATCCTAGAATCATAGGTAATTAAATTTTTTTCTCATATTTCTGTAATTTTTGAATTTTGCACAGTGATGTGGTTCTAAGGGGATATAAAATACTTGTAATTAGTAGAACAAAATAGTTGACAATGTTTTAAAAAATCAGAAAAGTTTAATGTTTTAAAAATCAGACCTTGCTCTCAAGGTCCCTACTATCAAATCCTAACTTACTTTCCCCAACTAATTCCCACTCATTCCTGTGTCTCAATGAGACTGTATCCAAGAGATTATGAACTCAGGCTTGGGACCTAGGCTGCCTTGGTTCCAACACCTGCTTCGCCATTCACTCACTAGTTAGGCGACGATGGGCAAATAACTCATGTTCCCTGTAGCTCACTATCATCTTTAAAATAAGAAAAAAGGGGTAACTCTGCACAGAGCCAAGATGTGGCATAAATGTATTATTTGTATAAGGCCCTTAGAATTGAAGTTTGCTATTAACGCTTAGA